GGTTGTTAAGCTTAACGCGGGAATGCTTTACAAACATTCAGAGATGAACTTACACACTTGCTTTACTTCTCTCTGAGATAACTTCCTCGGAGATGAAATGTTTGCTAGCAGGCTACAAATACACACAGCTGCTCTATCACGTGACCACATTGCTCCTACGGTTATGAGCCGAGTTACGCCGTGTCGCAAGTTTTGTGAGGTGCTTTTTTGATATTTAATGGATCGGATTACATTTTTTATTTCTCTCCGATATCCGATCCAGTAATTTAGGTCAGTATCAGACCGATACCGATATGTAATATCGGATCGGTCCATCTCTACTTTATACCCTCAGTTATATTTTGTGTTTTTTGGCAGTGTTGTAAAGCTTACATGGTTCAAATTTGTTTTTGCAGGAAAAGATGAAGAGCAAGAATAAACTGGTGCCGAGGCTTTTGGGTATCACAAAAGAGTCTGTGATGAGAGTGGATGAGAAGACCAAAGATGTAGTTCAAGAGTGGCCACTTACCACTGTGAAGAGGTGGGCAGCATCACCCAAGAGCTTCACCTTGGTAAGAGCCACATTTTCCACCTTTAAGCCAAAGACTTTGAGCACATTTATTACAGAAAGCAGGAGCTCTGAATACTTCAGTAATGCTGGCTCTGTTGGGGGGCGTGTTTTATCTTTCATTCATTCTGTTTGCACTGAGCATCGTGTCGCTGCTAAATAAGAGTGACAGGCTCACGGTAAACCCAACAATTCCTGTGGTGCTATAAAACAATCACTGTTACGCTCAGCCTGCATGGCTTTTTTTGCCCCTGGTGCACTTCAGATATTGAACAGACTTTTTTTTTTTGTCAGTGTCAAAATCCCTTCTTTGTGTCAGCAACATGGGTCTAATCTTGCAGGTCTGGAAGACGCAACATCTTAATTAAATTAACCCAGCCTCTTTCCTGCTGTTAATTCGGCAGAGTGCTCTGCCGTTTAGTCCGCGTGTTTTTCGTGACGCTGTGATTTCAGGTTTGATTTGTAGCTTTCGGAAGATGTCATGGTGGAAGGTTTAGCATTTTAAGTGCGCGACTGTAAAGAACTCTTTATTTTACTTAGTCCTTTTTTAAAACAATACATGTGGAAGTAACCTTTGCAATGCTCCGCTGAAAGAAATCTTCAGTGTCTTGTAAAACGTCTACCCCAAGATTGCTGTTGGTTTAATCCAATTCTCTGTATGTTGCAGCTTTTTGATGTCAATCAGTGTTCTAATCCTTGCAGTAAATCCTTAGCCTGCACAGCGCACTCTGCAGTGGTTACTTTCCTTACAATCCACGATGAAATGCATGTATAAGATGTGTGTGTGTGTGTGTGTAGGACTTTGGGGAGTACCAAGAGAGCTACTACTCTGTACAGACCACTGAAGGGGAACAGATCTCCCAGCTCATTGCCGGTTACATCGACATCATTCTCAAAAAGGTGAGACATTTATCTCTGGAGATGCTGATGAATCCTCGCGAATCAATATCTTCCTGTGACAAATGCATTCTCACATCTGTTGATACTAGACACAGCCCAGCCACTGTGTCATACAACTCCATTTAAATAAAAAGAAGCACATGTGGAAAGGCTCACGTGGCACCGGTATACAGCAGGAGCTGGTAATAAAGCTTAGAGTGAACAGCTGAGGTTCCATGGTTAACACAATTACCTATCACTGTTATTGGCATTAGAACTGTCGTCCCCTCCTTTTTCTGGGGGTTAGAATACCATCCATCACAGGTGTGTTCAAGGTTTAGTTGTATTCTACTCTGAATGACCAAATTTGTCATGAACCTGTGCAAGTGTGCAATTCTGTGTCACTCAAATTTTTGTTCTGTTATTTTGTTTCCTGCAGAAGCAAAGCAAGGATCGCTTTGGATTAGAAGGTGACGAGGAGTCAACAATGCTCGAGGAGTCTGTATCCCCGAAAAAGTATGTGTATTAGCCTGCTGAACAAAAGTGGTGCAAGTTTTACCTGAGCTGGTTGCTGGTAAAGCCTGCAAACCTGTTTGTCCTGTTTATTTTCTAAGCAATGTAGCCTCTGTTTAGCATAAATCAGCAGTCTTTATTTAAGCCCAGTTGTATTCGAATATATGTTGAGTATAAACGGTCGTATGATGATGCTTTGACCGTGAGCACGGTGCAAGGCGTTCTCATATTATTTGAACAAAGCACAAGATTAAGTCTTTCTTTATTTCCGTCTCTCTGCCGCCTGTGGCCACAGCTCAGACATCCATCTCGCAGAACCTCACTTCCTTATCCTGAAAGATAATCATTATGTGAGGAAATTTTGCTGCACCAGACAGGCAAAGGCTCTGTCTGAACATTTCCTTATTAGATGTATATTAGCTCACCGAACCACAGTGGACTCTCGGCGTGTAACTGAAGTCCTTTTCCTTTCATGCCTCAGTTGATATTGCTTTCCTGTTTTCAACCGAGAGAGTATTTGTTGCAATTGTTATTGTATTTTTTTTTTCCCCTCCTTCGCCCACTTTTATCCAGACTTGTTCACTGGCTGTAGGCAATCGTCTTTAATATTACAAAGACATAGTAAGCCAATCTCTGGAAGGCCTTATCTGCAGAAAAACAAAACAAACCTTTGTCTGCCAGATGTACACATTGCAAAGACTTTTCAGTATATTTCTGCTTTGTGCACAGTCACAAATGCACGTATGAGAAGACTAATGTTTTACATGCATCATATTTGCAGGTCCACCATCCTTCAGCAGCAGTTTAACCGTATGGGCCGGGTGGAGCACGGCTCTGTGGCGCTGCCAGGGGTGATCCGCTCTGGCTCAATCGGCGCAGAATCACTTAGCATGGGTACCATGCCATCCCCTCAGCAGCAGATCACAATGGGTCAGATGCACCGTGGACACATGCCACCACTGGTAATGATGCCTGTAAAGTTTCCTTCCCTGTTAAAGCCGCACGTGTAAGAGTTGTAGCGATGCTGCTGCACACATTAACTAGTGAATTTAAGAATCAGTCTAATATTCGCAGTGTAAGGTGACATGTTTTTATCTTTATGTGCAGAGCTCAGCACAACAAGCTCTGATGGGAACCATCAACACCAGCATGCAAGCTGTGCAGAAAGCCCAGATAGACCTGGGGGAGGTGGACAACCTTCCACCACTGGGACAAGACATGGTACCCTGCATTGCACTTGAACTCCTAATATATATGCTGATATTGTAATAGTAATAATATGTCTATGAGATGTGTTATTGAAAATCATGTTTGTAGTATTTTTACATGCTTCAGCGATGATTTGTGGTCTCTGTTTAGGCATCCAAGATGTGGATCCAAAACAAGATGGATGAGTCAAAACACGAGATCCACTCCCAAGTCGACGCCATCACTGCAGGAACAGCCTCTGTTGTCAACCTCACGGCTGGTCAGTGGCTCTGGCAGGAGTCAGCACAATCTGATAATGCTTTTCTTTATTAATTTCGTTTTCAGAACATGAATCAGTTTGTCCACTAAGAAAGCGTGGATTTAGTCTAGCTTATAGGAAAAAATATAATTAATTTCAGTCTTAATAGTAGAGCGTGTCTCTGGCGTACACTGTTCAGTGCTGACATTTATTTAAAATAAACACAATTAGGTATTTTGGGAATTCTACATAAGGCCCGTAAAGTAGTAAACTAGTGGTGCTCACACTTTTACGAGGAAGTGTTAGCGGCGCTATTTTCTTGCAGTTAAAATTATTTGGCCAATTAGTGACTTTAAAGGAGACATTTTCCATCACTCTGGTGTTCATTATCATCATTGTAGAACCTGTATAAAGTCTAATAGCTCTCTCATATCCTGCTGTGGTTTGGAGAATGTGCGCTGGTGAAGGTGTCGGCTGGCTTTGTGCCAGTCTTGCCACTTCATGTTGAAAATAATTTATTGGTGTGGTTTTTTCAGCTTAATGCTCTTGGGAATTGTTCCCAATTTTTTCGCTATTTTTTAGGGTTTTTGTTTGTTTTTTTTGCTTATTTCTCTCAGCTGAAATAGACTTATGTGATTATGCAAAGTCTGTAATCTTGGTTAAAGGCAAATACTTTTGATAGTTAGCTGACTGACTCGGTGAATCTTTCGTTTTGGGGTACCTTTATTATAATCACTTCTCTGAGACCGTATATTTTCCTGATCTCCTCTCTTCTGTTCATTCTTAATCATAATTAGCCGATCCTACCGACACAGACTACACGGCAGTGGGCTGCGCCATCACCACCATATCCTCCAACCTGACTGAAATGTCAAAGGGTGTGAAGCTGTTGGCTGCACTCATGGAGGACGACGTAGGAGGAGGCAACGACCTGATGAAGGCCGCCAGGACACTTGCAGGGGCTGTATCTGACCTGCTGAAGGCTGTGGAGCCGGCCTCTGGAGAGGTGAGCGAAAGCACCCCAAACTCTAAGAATATAAAAATAAACCAATTTAAGCTCTTTCAGTATTTAGGTTTACTTTACATTTTAGTGCCATATCTATTACTGCGGCAAAACCGATGGCTACTAAGCTAAAAAGCAGCATTGTGTATATTCATTAATATCGTCTACTGCATATGTAATATGTGGAAGGTCAGCTTTGGTTGTCGGTTTAAAGTCAAATAAGGTCTGGACATAAAGGAGGTATTAGAATAGAAGCTAAAATATGAAGGGAGGACCAAATTTGCACACTGTGTTGAGACCAGAGGGAGAAGGAGGAGGAGGGGTGGCCACATTGATAGAGGCAAAAAAAAATGGAGAATGTGTGAAAATGAGTCCTCACTCTGGATTCCAAGCATCAAGCAAACTTTTCGCCATTTGTACTCCATTAAATGCCAGATTTTGTGTGTATGTGCCTGTGGAGCTTTTTCTTCAGTCCAAATGGGCAAACTAAAAAAGCTAATCAAATTGGTCACAGAGCAGCTCTACCATGAAACAATGGATCGTCTCTGAATAATCTATTTTCTCTCTTGGTCCTGAACTAACCTAATTATATTACCATCTTCCACTGCTTGACAGCTTTAACTAACTAAATTGTTATGGTGAATCTGAATAAAGACGGGATATTGAAGCCGAGCTGATCGGCACGTAGTTTGGAGTTAGTTTGAAGGACTTTAATGTAAGGATGTGTTGTTAATTTGTTTAAAAAAATAAATAAATCTATGTACTGTACAGTGTTTAACCGAAAACCATTAAGCTTTACACAGGTGTGCATCACTGTGCATGCGGATAGTTGGAAAGGTGAATTGTAGATTTGAGTTTAGATGCTGCTGATCCAACGTACACAACACACAAATCAAGATATAAAATGCTGCCGGGTGTTTAAATACCGTTTCACATCCTGTGTGTTTTCTACAGCCAAGACAGACTGTGCTGACAGCAGCAGGCAGCATTGGTCAGGCCAGCGGAGACCTCCTGCGCCAGATTGGAGAGAACGAGACAGACGAGAGGTTTCAGGTGAGACTGCAGCCATTTATCACCTCACTGCATTCAGAGAAAAGTCAATGCTCTGGAACTGCCACTCACTTAATCAAAATCGCCTTGTATCCAGGGGAAAAAGACCAAAATATTGTTCCATATTTTGATCACGTTTTTGGTTTGAGTTGAAGGATTTCCCAGCTTTTAATCTAGAAACAATGAAGCTTTTCTTTAGCCTGCCTTCCTAAACACATTCCATTTTTTGCTTGTTTTGCATTTCACAACAATTCAGTTAATGAGTTGAACAGATGTGGAGTGGCTAAATGCGTATGTGTGTTTAATTGGATTATTGAGGCAGAAGCTTTGATGAGATTTATTTAGTTGCATATAACTGCAGATAATCCTGCGCTGATTTTTGCTTCACTATAGTGTTGGTTTAAATGTTCATTTGTACTGTATGATGCTGCTGCTGCAATTTCTTCCATTTGTTTATGGCTATTATATCAAATGGTATATATGCACAGGTACATAATGTTGCTAATGAGGTGGATTTCCACGTTTTTTTCCATGTTTGTCGCTTTACAGGATGTCCTGATGAATCTGGCGAAAGCAGTGGCCAATGCAGCAGCCATGTTGGTGCTGAAGGCCAAGAATGTGGCCCAGGTTGCAGAGGACACCGTCCTCCAGAACCGGGTCATTGCTGCAGCCACACAGTGTGCCCTGTCCACCTCTCAGCTGGTGGCATGTGCCAAGGTACAAAAATATGCTTTGTTGGATGTGATATGAAATGAAAGTGAAGAGCTCTGTTCCTTCACCAGTCGTCACAAGCGTGAATCATATTTTTTTTTTAAACTTGACCGATATTACATTTTTGGGCCTACACCAGTACTGGCTTTTAAGGAATACAACTTTGAAATATCATCCGCTGTTTTAATATTCCTGCATGTATTCCATAAACTAAACGTAGATCTTTGATGTTAGGAACTTCCGTGCTAAATCCCTTATCCAACTCCTGGTTGAGAGATATTTTCCGTTGCTCCATCGGCCCTCTGTGACACTGACAACAATTCATTGCGTTTAGCTTAAACTGTCCGCGCTCCATAATCAAAACTATGTGAGCCAAATGGGGAAAAAAAGACAGCCTGGGGAGTTGATTGTGCCCTTACAGCCTGAAGAGAATTAATGTAGGATATAGCTGAATCAGCTGAACATCGGAAATAGTATTAATTATGATATCATCTTGTCTGTCTCTTCTTCTTTAGACATGTAGATCAGTAACTTTTTTTGTGTGTGTGTGAAACAGATCACTTGTCTTTCCTTCACTCTTCACTGTGTTCTCCTCACACACAACCTATGGAAGAAAATGTTTTATTTTACATCCAGCATTACTAATATTGGACCAAACCAACAGACATAAATACTCCCACTTCTTTCCTGTTTTTAGTTAATACAACAAAGTAGTGGAGGTTGTGAGTTGTAAGCGTCATTTACTTTGACCGCAAGTGTTGGCAAAAAAGATTACTTTTATTATGTTTATAATAAGGTTCATATATATAGTTAATCCATTAAAAAACAACTTAATTGGCGTGTTATTGGTGACCACTCCCCATAACTCTGTCCTTAACTGAGTCAAGCAGATGCTGGATATTAAGGTCAGATTTGATGTACTGAATGACAGTAGCTTTGGGTTTGCTAGCTAAAGGAGCTTATAACATGAGTAACAAAGGAAAGACAAAAACATGGAAATGTTGAATGATTTACAGAGAGAGTCTGCCAGGTACAGGTTTTCCAATTTTTAGCTACTAAGATCAGATCTCTAATCCCTAAACCTAACCAAGGAAAAATGGCAGATTAGCTTGGGTAAAAGAATGAAACTTGAGGCACACAACGATGTGTGCGGCTGGTAAAGTTTCTGGGCTGCTTTTCCTCATAACAGCCATCCTCCAAGATTTTCTCCATTTAAAGCAATGCTTTGTCAGGGATTGTAACATCCTAGTCCTTTTACTGAATCAGATTTTAATATACTAGTACATGCCCATGCAACAGTATTGTTTGGTCTGTTTATAAACTGATATACATAATAAGAAGGAGCGAGAAAGTATCGTAATTAAACCATTTTTGTTGATCCCCTGCAATGCTCAGGTCCTGCGCTAGTACATTGTTAGGTGGATGCCAGGCAATGTGATTCGGTATATAAATAACGTTGACGATTTATGGATTTAAGACATTATTTTCAAGAAATTAAAAGGCTGTAACGCTTTTATAAGATGTTACAGATACATAAATGTTGCAAATGGGTCATTTCAGCTCATTGGTTGGTGGTTGTTGGGCAACATGATGATGTAATTATTTGCACCCTATTTGAACCCTTAAGGGCCAAAGATGTACCTGTGTACTAAGTTTGGCTTAACTATTAATCACGCAAGAGGAGTTCATAAACAAGCAGATAGAGATTGTGTATATTATAGTAAAGATCCAACAAAATTCTTTGTGTGTACAATATGGAAAATTATGGGTTAATTGTTTATTTCAAAAACTTAAGCAATGCCATCATCTCCTCAGTTGCGATACTACTCAGCTACATGTGCTGCAGACAGTACTCGGTGTCAATGCTTGGCTGTGTAAACTATGTACTGGATTCATTTTTAAATTGCCCAAGCAGTATTCGCATGAGATACATTAAATATGATGCTTGTTTTTTAGAAATGATGTGCTGATTGAATAATGGGGATTTTTTTGGCGTTTATTTTGTCTTGGATGTGAATATTACACTTAGCATCTTACAAGAAAAACACTTGGGAAAGACTGCATTTGGTTTCCTCTTTGCGATATAATCACAAAACCGTGTTGTAGATTTGATAAAAACGAAATGATTTCCTCAAATATTAGAATTACCTATCATTTTTTCTGCAGCGCAAACTTCCATTTTTATAGTGGGGGAAAAAAATCAGTATACGCTAAGGCACTGATAAATACCCTGTGCCCTCATCATATTTGTGCATCTGTAATTGTACAGCCCACATGTCTCTAATTAGTTTAAATGCCCTCCCGGCTCCTAATCTGAATAGTTGCATTTACAAAGCAAATCCTCACCTCTGTTCATATCAGCGTGATGAGAGCCATATGCTGAAGTCCTTTTAAATTTGTTTTCTCTGTTCTTTGGTGTTTTGTTTAATTAATGATGAAAGAGTGTTAAAGTGGTACATTTATTCCAGGTTCCTGTTTGTATTTGAGGCCTTTTTATTTTAAAAAAAATTGTTTTTGTGTTACATTTCTCACACAAGAGAAGAAATTATATATATTCTTTTTCATCTTTATGTTGACGTAGGTGGTAAGCCCAACTATCAGTTCTCCAGTTTGCCAAGAGCAGTTAATTGAAGCTGGAAAGCTTGTCGACCGCTCGGTGGAAAGCTGTGTCCAGGCCTGCCTTTCAGCCACAGAAGATGGCGAACTTCTCAAGCAGGTTAGTTTGGTTTAGTTTAGATCAACATTGTGCTAAACCTTTTGCTGCCTGGTGGAATAATAAACAATGAATATCTTGTGTTAAAGGTGAGTGCAGCAGCCAGCGTGGTTAGCCAGGCTTTAGGAGATCTCCTGCAACATGTTCGTCAGTACACCTCAAGGGGAGAACCGATTGGGCGCTATGACCAGGCAACGGACACCATTATGACTGTCACTGAGAGTATTTTCAGCTCAATGGGAGATGCTGGTGAGTCCAATTGAGGAGAATTTTCTAGTACTTTAAAATCTGAAATATGCTTCAGTGCATGTCCAGTGCCACCCTTCCTCACTTGAAGTCAGGAAGGTTGGTAATGTATGAGGACGACAGGAGTGACAGACAAGTACTGTATGTGAGTGTGGTGTAGGGCGTGTATGAGGAGGCAGTGAGACAGTGATGAGGTATGTGCTAGACGTGACAGATGGGTCCAAGGTGGTGGTGAGATTACATCAGGGATCAGCTCTGAGCCCCTTCTTGTTTGTGATGGTGATGAGCAGGTTGACAGATGAGGGCAGGCAGGAGTCTCCATGGACTCTGATGCTCACAGGTGACATTGTGATCTGTAGTAAGTGTAGGAAGCAGGTGGAAGTATGCTCTAGATAGAAGAGGAATTAAAGTCTGTAAGAGCCAGTGTGTGAAAGAGAGGCAATTGGACAGGTGAAGAAGCAAGTTAAATATCTGGGGTCAGTCATCCTAAGCAATGGACAGTGTGAGCGTCATGGGTGATTTGTGACAGGTGAAGGTTTACAAGGTGGTAGTGAGACGTGCTGTGATGGTTTAGAGACAGTGACACTGATTTAAACAAAAAAAGGAGGCGGATTTGTGGATGCTGAGATTGTTGTTGCGATTGACCAGGATGGACAGGGTTAGAGACGGGGACATCAGAGAGACTGTGCAGGTTTAGCGGTTTGAAGACATGAGACAGTTTGGATATGTGCCGATACAATGGACAAAGGATATTGAAGATGGAGCTGTTGGGCACGAGGAAAAGAGAAAGACCACAAAGAAAATTCATGACTGATGTGACAAAAGAGGATGGAGGCAGATGAACTGGTGGGGCGACCAGATCATCTTCAACTCTGGGTCAAGTGCTCATTTAGAAAACTCAGCATGCTAATATGCTAAAACTGAGACAGTTATAAAGTAAACATGTTATGTGTCTTTGTCTTGCTGATGACCTGTTTCCATCATCCAAATTTAGAAGTATTATGAAAGTAATTGCTGATAATCTGGAGAAGGGGGAAAAATGAACACAAAGAAATTAAACAATGACTAAAACACATTCAGTGGCTTGTAGGCAAAGCTCACAGCTACTAGCTGATAAGTGCCATCTAAGCTGTCCAAGTAAAATCAAGTGTCAGCGTTGACCTATCAACACTTTTAACCCACGAGAGCTGAATCGGCCTGAAGCATCCTCCAAAAAACCAGCCATAAGTATATAAATAGTTACCACAGCCTACTCTAGAGCTAAAAATGTGAAACTCAACCTGTTATTCTAAGAAGTTTGAGTTTAAATAGACAAATACATTAAAACAGTGCCAGTAGGTGCATTTTTCTTTAAAAAAAAAAAAAAGGCTTACCACATCTCTAAGGCTTGCAGTCCCTGAGTAGATGCTTTTGTGTATCTGTGCCTCTTCCTGTCTTCTTCTCTGACAGACTGATGTGATGCTGGGTTTGAATGGACTCCTGTCAGGCGTTGTGAGTCCACAGAGAAAAGCTGACAGTGATTTTAATAAGCCTGACAGTAGAGAAAGACCAATAGATGGATATAGATGCACTGAGAATGTCAGGGCCTAGAGGTCAGCTCTGACAAAGTGATTGGCCTGACAGTAGAAATTGCTGTTTATTCTTCTGAGAGCTAAATAAAAGAAGAACGACAGAAAACGCCGCCTTTGAACTGGTTGTCAAAGACGGTATGTTATGTTATGTCACACCCAGTATAAAAAAGATAAAGTGTGAAGAGCATAAAAAGAGTCGCTCGTCAGTAGTGTCAGGTTGAAGGATCACCTTAGACATTCACATGAATTACAGAGGCTTATCGTAAAGTAGCTTTTAGGGTGTGTGTCTTTGGCACATAGATTATAAACAATAATTTCTTTCATCATTTTTTATTTTTTTTAATATTTTAGTCTAGGTCTGTTCGATATAACGATATATATC